CTGGGAATGGTCCTGCGGCCGGTCCTGTGCGTGCTGGGGCTGGAGCCGTGGGGGCTCAGCGTGCCCACCCGCGCTCTCCGAGTGCCCGCTCAAACCCCCCGCAGCCAAGGGAGGGATCGGAAATCCTACGCAGCAGAAAGCAGAATTTCATTCTCCGTTCGTTGCTAAAGAAACCTCCACAACAAGTTGTCCTCTCCGACACCCAGCACCCTGCTCCTGCCCGGACCCTGCGGGACAGCATCCCCCGCTGTCCCCTGGCCTCGCACAGAACCACACCAGCACAGACTGGGAGGAACCCAGTGCAACCCAGTGGAGGAGCACCAGCACGCATCGCCCGACTCCACACCCCGCAGCTGGAAACCTCCGACAGAAAACAAATCCCTGCTCTAGAACCGCCAGCGAGGGGCTGCTCGGCGCTGCCCAGAGAGCAATTAGCTAATTAGCTGATCGCCCTTTGAGCTAGATGCCAGTAATTTTTCCGCTGCGCTCCCCAAGTCCCACCGGTGGCCTTGCTCTCCGTCCGGGGGGTCGGCTGGGCTCGGGGGCTTCGCGCTGCTCGCCCGGGGAAGGTGCTCGCCCATCGGCCACGGGCAAGGACGGGCAGCGCCGCGGAGGGCTCGGCACTTATCTGCTGCGGGGTGGGGATGGGAAAACGGGGTGTGACGGGGCAGTTTCTCAACAGGGTTTTGTAAAGCTGCTTTCTTTCCCGTTCTAGGTTTGGTTTTTTTTTTCTTTGTAAAAGGTCACTTTGAACTTTGGGGTGAATGAGTTGAATTCTCTGGTCTGGTGTTTTTCATGCTCCTGACGGAGGTAAAGGCCCTTCCAGTGGTGAAAACCCTCTGAGCTAGGCAGGGGTATATTTTATACGGCAACCGGTGTGCAGAATGGACCAGCCCTCAGTGATGGGCTCAGCACCTCTCTGCGAGGTGCGTCCCTCCCACCCGTCCTTTGTGCCTTGGCCACGTTCCCATTTTCCCAGCTTTCTCCCAATAATTTCCGATCCCGCTCTGAAATGCCACCCGGTACGCGCCATGAAGGAAGAGCCTGAAAAGAAACAGGAATTCAGGTGCTGAAAACCCAGAGGACCCCAATGCTGCGCAGCAGCCATCGCGTTATCCATGCATTTATCCCGGGAAAAGGGAAGGGTGAGAGCAGTCTGCTGGGCTGGACGCCGGGCTGCACCACCAGCTTGGCCGGGTTTGGGGCCTCATCCTTCACAGAGGGTCCCTGGACCCGCCGGCACGGCGCTGAGCGGGGTTCGCCCTCCCCCAGTG